GAACTAATGGAGGGATCACAGATTGGGATGGAAGGCGAAAAGGAGACCAGAAAGCAGGAAGACACAAGAACAAGCAGTTTATTAAATGGACTAAGTAGCAAACAAGAACCATATGTGACTTAAAAGAAAAAAAATTACAAACCCTTGAATGCAGTGCAGTAAAATGGAAGATCATTGTTCCTTCTTATTTTATGAAGGTGTACTACTTGTTATCTGCTCTCTTACAGCAGCTATACTGTGTGCATGGAAAAATGACTAATTTTATAATGTTCAGGAAAATGCAAGGAAGGGAAGGTCATTATCCAGCTATACTAAATTTGATTTAGTTCTAATAATTGGTGATCACAAAAACTTTAATGCAGCAGGAGTAGAAAAAGAAACCTCTCTCTTCTTACTCTGAGCACATATTTCCATATAGCCATACACTGTTGAGTTTAATGCTTTTGTTGACTGCAGCCCTTCTGCAAAACTTGGGTTGCTTTTCTATTAGTATTTTTGCTTTTCCTTCTATTTCTTTCCAGTCAATAAGTTAATGAAGAAGTTCAGAAAGTTATTTTTTAAAATTCCAAAAAGTGCCAGGTTTATATCAAAATCACTATCTGCTCCTGCAGTGCAAAAATGTTTCAGATTGTGTCATTAGCACATCATCAGATTTCCCTGTTTCCTGGAAGCTGGTTCAAAAATCCAGAGCAGAAGAGGACATAGATATTGAAAACTTCTCCAAAGAATTCTCTGCTGGCACTTCTGTGGTGATGATGGACAGAGATTGCCATGAGGGAGACAGTGGACAGGGATTACAGGGAGGAGTACAAGGCTGATGTACTAATGTATGCAATTAATGTACTCCTCATTCTCAAACTATTTCCACTCATCATTACCAAATTCTACTTTTCTCAGGAAAGAACTTTCATGGTTTCTATAAAATGGAAAGATGCTAATGATCTGCTTCTGACTGTCAGTGAAGAGATGAAGGCTTTAACAGGAGAAAAATGAAGTTTTTATCTCTCAATCTGATCCTGAAGAAGTCTCTGGACTAGACCTCTTGGTCTGATTGACCAAGAGCTTTGCTCAGCAAAGCTATGCTGTTGTAAACAAACATACAAGCAAGCAAAAACCCAAACAAACAAACAAACTCCCAGCTTTAACCCACTTTTACACTGATTCTACTTTTGCCTGGTGGAAGGTCAGAGCCAACCATAGGCAATGTTAGAACTGAAGTCACAAAGTCACACTGGCCAAGGCTTTGCATTTTGTTGCCAGCAATTCTGGTGGCCATGCGTAGCACTGAGTTGTCACACCCTGGTGAGCAGTCACACCCCAAGGACAACCCAACACTAAGAGACCCCCTCAGAGATTAGATCCATTATTTTCCCAAGGTGCTTCCTATTATCAGCCCAAGGATTTTGCCCTACATTTATTGTTATAGTACGTGATGCTGCATTTGGAATAACAATACTCATGGATACATCCGATCTACATTTAAACTACTTAATGCAGGTAATGACATCAGTGGAGCTGCAGCATCTGCATGGGATATCCATGACATAGGATACAGGTGGCATTAGCCATTAGTACCTGGCATAATTTGTTATAAACTGAAGTATATATCTTTGCACAAGTTGGGACTCCATCTTTGAAAGCAATACAGATGTGCTCCTAACACTCAGTCAGGCTTTCCAGAGCATGCTCATACATTTGAATGTCTTGCAAAATAGATCAAAGGACTGATCTTACCTTTTCAGCATACACCTCTTTCCGTGCCAAATGCAAAGCTCCTTCAATGCTCACTTCTTTATTTTTCACCATGTTCATTATTTTGAGGATTTTTTCCTGGCTTAACTAGAAAAAAAAAACCAATCAAATGGTTTTAGAGACTGTTTTTTCATCTGGCTATTGAGGATACAGATTGTGTGTGACACTTACAGCTATGGTATCTGCCATAAAATTACAATTTCATTCATGTTTTATGTTCTTTCGACAACCTGCCCAGCAAATATAATCTCCCTTTGACACGTGGTGAGAGTCCACAAAATATCAAATATACAGGGGCTTTTACAATTTTAGAAGATGGGGTGGTAATACCTGGAGATAGAACTGCCAGGAGGAAATCTTTTTTAGTTAGAAAATCTGGCAAGAAGTGAAAACATCAATTTTGTATGCTTGCCTGTGTCTTACCCTTAGTGCAAGTACTGCATACAGACAACATGAAAGCAAAATCAGGACCATTCTAAGTTTTCAGGATGAAGGGGGAAAGATTTGATGTTTGTACCAGCAGGTACAGCTGTCACATGAAACTATCTAAACATGTTAACAAGCCAGCATTGCATTTCCCCTTTCTTTTACCAAAAAAAAAGGAGGTTGCACTGTCAATAAGCTTACACACAAATTTATGTCACTCTTAAGTGTGCCAGGTGGGGATTGCAATTCCAAACAGGAATCAAGCAAAGAAAAAAGGCATGTGGAGTAACCAGAGACCCAGAACTACAGCCATTTACAGTGCTGGTAAAGCTTTTTCACAGACTTTGTAGAAGGAATAAGCAACCTCCCTTCAAGACAGACCAAAGAGTTCCCTTGTGTGATATCCATTCCTCAGCAGACTTGGGAATTCAGAGGCAGTAAAACCTACAGGTTTTACCATGAGAGCTCAGGAACTTGTGATCTTTTTTATCCAGTAGCTTAGCTACAATACTCAATTAGCTACAACATACAAAGTTTCCTACTTCCCTGGAGAATGACCTCACCACCAGGAGATAAGCTACTGCAATAAAAATCTCACTTTCAAATCTTTTGAAGGAGTTTTAAAACTTTTCCATGTGGACATCCAGGTGAAATGCTCTCCTCAGGAGCATTGCCCAGGCTGTGCAGGAGCCAGGGGAAGGGGCAGGAGAAACATTTGGAGGACCAGCAAGGGGCCTCCCCTGTGCCTCTGCTGCCAGAGCTACTGCAAAGACTAACACATTGAGAGCAAGGCAGCTCAAAGCATCTCAGTGTCGCGAGCAAACCTGCATTTGGCCACCCCAAGGATGAGGAACCATGACCTGGATTGGGTTTTGCTGTTGCCACCACAGGAAAAAGGCGGCAAAGAGCTAGAGACAGGTATCCCCTCGAGAGCCATGGCTGCTGCCCAGGAGGGCAGGGTGGGGAGAAACTGGGGCTCCTGAGAGCTGCCAGTTTTGCCACTTGAGATTCACGGTTGCTAACCCCAGCAGCAGCCACCAAGCTGCTCCCCAGACCTCCGGGGCAGGCTGAGCAGGCAGTAGCTGCATTGCCACCCCCAGCACCGTCCTGCTCTCACCAGCTGCTCACCTTACCTACGCCTACAGCTCCCCACAGATATAGCAGCTTCTCTGCCAAAAACCCCAGCAACGCAGCCTTGCAGCAGAACCAGATCCTCTTCACCCATCCAGGCACCGCAGCCACCTGGCACAAGTCTGATGGGCAACACTAAAATAACCAGTCACACCACAGAGGTCAGGGACCAGTAAATCCACTCTTTTCCCGAGCCACACCACACCAAACGCACTTTAACTTACCAAATTTTGAACATCTCAACCAGTTTCTGATCAGCAGGCACACCATATGTTTTTACAGCTTACAAATAAAACTGGGAGTAAAAGAAGAAGAAATATTTTGTTTTTAAAGCCTTGGAATTTTCAATGCTTATATAAAGGTAACTTATGGCATAGCTCCCAGCTGCAAATAGTAATGTGAACAGTGAGGAAAGAATGAAAGTCTGATAATTCATTCACACTTGCTGAGGCTCAGAAGGTTCCTACAATGACCTCCACATTCTGTATTTGAATTTTAAATGGCCATATATTTACACCACACACACACTGTATACGATTAGAACTAACAAGATAATTCCCCACTGAACAGGCTCTGTGTAAGTAAATGAGAATATGGATATTTCTGAATTGAAAAATATAGTTTCCTGAAGGCTAAGCTCTACCAGCTTTAAAGTGCAAGATCCTATTTATACAGGATAGCAATTCTTAATAGGAAACTGGATATTATTTTTACAACAGTTAGCTCTTTTGTATGGAGAAGAGCTCAAAGATTTTGCTGCAGGATGACAATGATAACATAAAGATAACATCATAGCCTTATGTCTGATTAACATAAACAAGAGAAGTATTTATTTCCTTCACTTCAGTACACAAGTAATTCAATAAACAAGCTCAGTTCTCATTTGAAACTCATGGTGTTGTCCAGCTTTACAATATATGGTGCACATCTGCAGGGATGCTTCCTAAGAGTGGCCAAGAAAACAAGAGTTTCAACTTGAAAAATATGAGGCTTTGAAACTTTTTTTTCCCCCTAGGCTATAGGTTACTTGGGTCACCATCCCTGTTCTCGTGCAAGTGGACTCCATACTCAGCTATGCCCAAACATTTGGTATTTTAAGGTCTGTCCTTGGGGCCAAATATGGACCAAGGAACTATTCCACAACATCTGTACCAAAAGCAAGACATTTCTTTTGTAATTCACTGTGTTTCTCCTTTCCATTGCAGAAATTTTTCAAAAGCTTCTTTTTTTTTTTTAACTTTTTGCAAAAAAAAGCTGCAGAAGTGAATGCCTTTCTGGCTCTATGAAGTATTCAACTCTGCATTTTGCTTTCCTTCACCAAAGTCGCCTTTAAAATAGAATGAAATTCTGCTCAAGACTTGAAAACAACAGGGAACATCTCTTAATTTGCTTAATAATGTATGAAGAAAAATGTTTGCAAAAGAGAAGCAAATCATTTTGTATATTGCAAATTCAGGAAGGTTAGTTAGTAAGTCAGACTACTGACAGTTAATGCATTCCCCAGAGAGCACACAAGGCAGTGCTTGGTACAGGTTATTTTTAACAGCACCCTGTTGTTTTAATGTCTCTGTTAACTCTCTCTCTGCACATCTGTAAGCAGGAGGGAAACATTTCAAAAGACAAGAGAGGCAAAAAAAAGGCATTCTTCAGCTTATGAGAACTGTCAAAATTATTTGTCAGAAGTCTGTCTGGCTCACTTAGGTTTTTGACAGCCACACGTTAGCATGGTATTTTTACTTGCAAACAAGACTTGAGTAACATGTCCTGACCTTTATCATTTTGTATCTGTGGGGCTTTTCTCGCAGCACATCACAATTTTTGTAATGCTCATTCTTGTGTTTTTTTCAGTTATATTTTTTTTTCTTAAAAAGAAACCATTTTTGTCATATTATCCACTGAAATGCCACTAAGTCAGATCGTGTTAGATTGCCTAATACAACGTGACTGGTGCAACCAAACAGAATGTTTTTATACAAGGTTGGATAATAAAACTTAGGAAAAAAATGTTTCTATTATAAAGCATGCACATTAAGGAAATACATGAGATTGTGTCAATAATGCATTTGTTTACCTGCCAGGGTAAAGAAGCTTGTTTAATAGAGATTAAATTTTCATCACCCACCCAAAATTCAGTACAGTGATATAAGTGATTTGAAAGAAAAATCAACGTTCACAATTGAAGGAAGAGCGTAGGGCTCCAGGCATTCTCCATATATCCATTACTCTGCAGGCTGAGGTTTTCATCTCTTTGGCCTAGACATGGCATAATGGGGAGTGGGGAGATACAAGATTCGTGGCTTGTTCTTAGGCAGCTGCCAGCACAGCACTCTGCACGACCCCTTCCAGGGCTTCCTGCCACTCTCCGTTTGCCCAGCACAGTCTCACAAGAGGCCCTAAGAGGTGTGGAAGGTTTTGCATGTCGTCTCCATGCTGTGGAAATGTTACACTAATGACTCTAGAAAGATCTCCAGACTTCTTGAGCATCAACCAAAAGCAGTTACAGCCATGTCATCAAAGTACTCTACAGTTGACTGAGCAAAGCAGCAGAAGGTGTGCAGAACATGGGTAACCGTTCAAGGATAAGACAGGCTAATGTCTTCCTGTGTCTCTTCTTTCTGACTCTCACCCTTTAATACACACAGGTTCACATTCCCTAATCGATCACGGGATTGCTGTGACTCCTGTGCAGTCAATAGAGATATTTGGGCATCTCTAGGTGGCAGTGCACCACATAGAAGACCTGTCTCTGATCTGACAACTCTTTCTCTCCATTACCTAGAGGAATTGGAGCTACATGGCTTTTGATCAACTTATTCCTATTCTGTGGAACATCCTACCTGAATCTTAATAATATGACAGCAATCTAATGCAAAAATACTCCTGGAATGTGTGCACACACTCCTCTGGAGATGTAGAACAAGAAATGTGGCTGTCAGTCAGCTATACATACAATCTCAATTATTACAAATACTGGCACTATTATCTCAGGTTTACTTAGGTGAAGATCATAGCTAATATGCACCGAGCTCTATCATTTCCTGCCACAACAAAACCAAATCATGCAGAAATCCTGCTCCTTGTACAAATGAGGAGAAATTTTTATTCAAGTCTAGTCAAGCTTTTCACTGTTAAGCATTCCTTACACTTGTCCTTATTAAACTTTAACGGTGTTAAACATTCTCATCTGCTTGCTGCAAGGAGTAGGAGACAAAGCAGCTCCTGGCTGCAGTGGGACCCAAGAAGAGAAGGCTGGACCGAGAGGGCTCCTTCCTCATCTTCTGCACTCCACAGTAGCATTGCCCTTTTAGCACTGCTAGGATCAATGCTCCAAGGGACGGGAGCTCAATCCAAGAGAGAAGAGCCAAGTAGTGGCTACATATTGCTTTACAGAGATGTCATGAATTTCTGGCCATAAATCTGACTTATAGCTATTGTTGTCCACACAAAAAGAAATATGCTGCTTTAACACCCATGCTTGATATTTTTTATCCAGCATAGGGTCATATTTTCATTCATTTTTTAGTCCAGTTTTTCAAATACAGCTTCTATTATTAAAAGATTTTGTTTTCTGTCTAGAACAGCAGGATAACTTGACTTTAAGGTAAAGCCTTCTGGGGATTTTCTGTTGACTCAGTGCCTTCCAGCTACAGTGCACAACATTTTCTGCAAAGTACAGCATAGAAGCTTTAAAAAAGTGCCAGGATATAAAGCAGTGATTGACCTATGATGAAATTTCAAGTAGCAACTTCCTTTTCCAAGCTGTGCTTTTAAAGAATACACTTTTTTTTTTCTTTTTCTTGAAATGAAAGGCACTGGCTTAGTTTACTATGGATATGGCTTAGTTTACTATGGATATTTGTCTTTCTGTACTCTGCTTGCATGTTGAACATGTCCCCTAAGTGAACTTAGAGACAGTAGATCAGACTGAAACTTCTAAGACAACCCAGATTGTGTGTTATCAACTTTCACCTCTTAATGTATTCACTTTTAAGAGGTTTGAACTTGGCCCAAAGCGTACTGCCTGCTCCCATATATTCAGAGGGGAGTGGCTGTCTTCTATGACTGGGGTACCTGAAAAGCCTTCACTTGTAATTTACATGAAATATCAATACAAATGACTGATGTGATATTTTTATGTGGCAACACCATCTTTTGTAGCCAGTCATAGAGATAGACTAATATTATTTGTCAAACAGAGCTGCTATTCATCAAATAAATTATCCATCTGTAATAATGTTTTGCATTATTTTTTCAGATCTATATCTGGCTGAATAATATCTGTCAACATTTATTCAAAGAAGAAGGTATTCATCAAACAGTAGCTTGATTTCCTTGAAAACACTTGAAATTCTACCACTTTCAGTAGGAGCTGGAGGAGCTCAAAAATATTTTATTATATTTTTTTAAATTGGTATAAAGGTATATAGTGATTAAGTACAATAACAAAAAAATCTCAGAGAGCTAGTCTCAAAAGCGTTTAGGAACCTAGAATATAAACTGGTGCCTAGTGATATATATATAGTGCAGTTTAAAATACAAACTAGTCTACCTACTTCCAGTTTTGAAATTATCACCAAATTGAGGAACCTCAATATCTAAACATTTCTGAAAACTTCCTCTAAACAACTGATGATTTATAGGTCTCACATTAAGCAAATAGTTTAGAGTTTCCCTCAATCACCACTTAACAGACCGGCATGTTCTCAGCAGGACTCTCCTGCCCTAACAGCACTTGGAACTTGTCAGGAAACGACAGTCGCACAGTAATTACTGGAGTTTCACTGTGAAAGCTCAACAGATAAATTAAGTAGTGCTGCACCATCTCCTGACTAGCTGCATGTTGTTCTATTCAGGGTTTTCATTAATGATTGGGTGATGGAATAGAGATTCTGTTTATTAAATTTGCAGACTTTGACACAAAGGTGGAAAGAACTGCAGGCAGGTTGCAAGGGGGATTCAAACTCAAAGGAAGCTTGACAAATGAGAGGAGCACTAACGTACAATTCAATAAATGGGGAAGAAGTCTTGAAAAAGTTCATCAGGAATTATCAGGTTCAGAAGGACTAGCTGAGGAATCTATTTTCTTCAGAAAAAGGCCCAGAATTGATAGCAGTTTACAAACTGATACAAGTTAACAACATTATGCTGTTGCAATAAAAGCGAATATCCCACTGGGAGGTTATAGACAGCAACACAGTCTGCAAAACACAAGTAATCTTCTCAGTACTCTGCACCAATAAATACTTCTGCTGGAATAGTGTGTGAAGTTTTCCATGTCTCCAGAAAAAAGTTGGACATGTTGGAAGAGTCCACATCACAACAGTGAGAATGATCAGAGCTTTGGAAAAACTCAGTGTACAAGGGAAGAGAGGGAGGATTGCGACTTCACAGCCTAGAGAAGGGTGGAGGAGTCAGTCTGCAAGTACAGAAACGAAAAGGAAAGGAGCAGGTTGTTCCCTGTGTGGTAGGCTAAGAAGAAAGATAATTCAAAGTACAAAAAAAGAGGTTCAGCTTAGATGTTTGGAAAACAGTAAGGATAACACTGTCCACTGAGATGTTTAGGGAAGTTTATGGAATCTCCTGTTACTGAAC